ACACACACACACACACACACACACACACACACACACACACACACACAAATTGTAAGTTGCAACCTGAGGCAAAGAATGCAAGGTCTCTCAAACTTTTCTTGGGGGGGGGGGTTAAAAACCCACTGGGCTGTGTAGGTTTATTCTGCAAGCAATCCATCTTGATCAGAAGCCCTTTGATGTGGAAGGTGGATGTATAGAAGCTTCCCTGGGTTTTGCTGCCCCTTCTCTCCTGCTACCCCCTGGACTGCTCCTGCTTCTCTTCATCATGGTCTGGGGTGACAGCGTGATAGAACAACACTGCCGCTGTTACTGAGCCAATGCTGGACCCCTGCTGGTTTCCATTAAAGGCAGCAAAAGGAGAGGCAAAGCTCACAGACTGACAAACACAGCCGCTGTGTTGGATGAAGGCGGTTATCCATAGAGATTAACCTCTGAGCTGGGCATCGCCTCTTATGTCTTATTGAGAAATAACACTGAAACAAGGTATCTTATCTGTTGGCTTTTTGACTCATTTAAACAGAACCAGAATCTGATCTTTTGTGTGCTCTTTCCATACATTTCCTTTTGGTTTTCTTTAGTGTGATGTAATGAGGCAACACAGACAGGCCCTGAAGAGATGGATAATGGCAGACACTATATGCCTGTTAACCCCCAAATCAACTTCCCTTTACTGGTCTACTTCCTGTGAAGGGACACATCCATGTACACGAATCGATTGGACACAGAGCCCGCCTGTTTCCTGAACCTCACGCGAGGATTTATAGCAGAGCTGAGACAATCAGCATAATTGCCACAGCAGAGACTGGACCCAGAAAAAGTGAGATATTTTACAAGACCACCTGTTGAATGTAGAGTCACAAATCCTCTCAACAGGATTAGGAGTCTGTTGCATTGCATCTATTTTTGGCAGTACAGATGATGAAACGATTCTCCTAATGGGATAATTCAAATAGCTTGTGCTTCGAATAAAAATATGGAACCATCTATACACCACTGCTATTTTGACTTGGTCTGCAAATTGTTAATTATTATGTCATGGTACATTAAATGCATGCAGGAAGTGGCATATCCGGTTCTAACATTGATGCGTCTCTGCACGCTGAGATAAATTTTCCATCACAAGCTGAGACTTTAGTGCTGAGATGTTGTGGGAACATCCAAAGTAGAGGAGCACAGCAGGGAATTGGAATCACATATGGACACTGAAATGTTGGAAGACTCCCCCCCCACATAATTTCTCCAGTAGAAATTGCATAGGGAGGAAAACCACAAGGGCGATTTAGAGAACAGGGTAAAAAGTGGGAGGAAAATATATATTTCTTTGGCTAGATTACTCCTTGATTCACATGCTATATCCACCAAACCACTTGCCATAGTATTTATAAATTATTACGGATGAATTATAGATGCCATTAGTCTGCATGTAGTGCATGCCACACACGTTGGTGCAGTTCTTGCTTTTGCTAGCATGATGCTGACGTTGTCAGTGTGTGTACAGCTTGTCCCATAAAACATTTGGAGTTGCTCCTCATGCATAGCACTTTCTTGAATTATGAAGAGAGTCGAAGCCACTTCATTTTAATCTGGCCATTAAAGGCTCTGCTACACTATGCACACTGATGAATTAGCAGTTTTTTTGGCATTCTGCACACAGCTATGAGTTTGTATTAGAGAGACTGGAATAGAGGCAACCACTCTACTCTTTACACTGCAACATGAAGATGCTGTTGGAGGAGAGCCAAGAGATTCTCTTACCCAAAAGAAGAAGTTAAGAGTTTTGCCCTCTTACTGTGTTTTCGGCTAATTGACAAAGCAGGTATTGTGCTGCTCAGGTTTCTGTCTGTTTCTGTATATCACTTCCCATTCCCCATAAAAGATATCCTGTCACAACACCAAAAGGTCTTTGTTTGCATTTGGCCTGCCTGTGAAGAATACTCTTTAGTCAGTCACTGCAGACATTAGACTTCCCATTTGAAACTCAATGCTTCTCTGAGATTCTCCTCTGTTGAAAAAAGAAAAAGAAAAAAGAAGATCAACTCAAAGTTCAAGTGAAATTTGAACATTTTTAACAGGTGTTTGAAATGAAAGATGAAAGACGGAAGGAACCTCTGTTTGCACTCAGCCTGTTTACTGCTTGTCGGAAACACTACAAAAAGCAAGAGGGGCAGAATGTACACTAGATCCCTCAGGACCCACTTTCTTCTCCACAGGACGTCCCTTTTAAAACCTGAACATTCAAAGGTTCCCCCGCTTGTGTAACTGTATGCCTCTGAGAGCCAGGCACCAGGAATTAATTGTGTGTGTGTGTGTGTGTGTGTGTCAAAGGGAGAGGTGGATGTCAGATTTAGTGCCTTCCCCCATCTGGATTGCCATAGCAGTCATGTAGAGCAGTTGGCGTCGTTAGGAATGCTAAGATAAGGCAAGAGTGCTCACATACAAAGTCAAACAACTCACACATAAACCCATCCTGTATACTTTTTATCCCCTACACAGCGTCTGATGACGATATGTCTCCATTATCTCCATCGTGGCATTCTTGTACCTGTCCCTACAGGCTTACGCTCTGGTTAAGAAACACACACAAAACACTTCACCATCAATACCACACGTAATTTGTTTATAGAGATTGAGGGCTTTTCTAATGAGATCTTACTGTAATTTACCCAGATTACTCATAATAGTATAGGATACTGTATGTCTCAAAGGTAGATCATAAGCTATCATATTTCAAAACTTTAAAGAGGTGGAGGCAAACCATTATTTTCTATATAAACCTTTACCTCCAGACGCCTTAGAACGCATTATCACAGGTGGTGTTTAAATGAGCTGTTCTTTTAATTCTGCACGTAGGCAATGGTTAAGAGTTAACTGGTAATGCAGTGTAAAGAATAAGTATTGTTGCTTTGGTTAGCTGCCGTTTAATAGAGCATTTATAGAGGGCTTCAATTTAAAAGTCCTGTTTATTTTAAAGACTTTCAAGGCTTGGAAGGAGATGACACTAACGAGTACAAAAGATGAGCTGCTTTAGAAAATAAATGGTTCTTTGATAAGAAGTCAGTCAATCCTGTGTACATAAACATGTGAGGATAGACTACCAAGGAGCGTTTTGGTGAAAATAAATAAATAACAGCAACATTAAAGCAATAGTATGACATTTTTGGGATATTTGCTTATTTGCTTTATTACTGAGTTAAATGAGACGGTAACTTTATTGTTAGTGTGTTAAGCATGGAGCTAGAGGCAGGAGGCAATTAGCTTAACATGGCAAATAGAAATAGGTCGGCTATATAGCCAGTAGCTTAGTAAGTTCACATTTTGGGGTGTTGGTTACTTTGGACAGAGCAAGACTATGTTTCCCTGTGCTGTCAGTCTTTTCCTTGATTTCTCAAAAACACAATTGAAAGTGATTGCCATAATATAAACACATAATAATGATAATGTATTCAGAAGAGTTCTATAATACTTTCCATACCAATTTAACTACAGACCAGAGCTATATTTGAGGTGTCCCACCTGCTAAGCAACTTGAACAGGTTTTTTCCTGCAGCCATGGTACAGGATCATAACATCAGACATGTTTCTTGTTTGATCCAGTGAAAGTGTCCAGTCAGAAGGTAAAATCTCATTACAGTCTGTATGGTCAAAGCTGATAGATTTTTTGCTATCAGGCAGACATGTCTGTCAGGCAGCCATATAAACACATACCAGCTAGTCAGTTTGTGATTGGTTGCTCATCTGGCTCACACCCAAACTGCGCTAATACCTATTGCACACCATTGACCTGTTTGTCTTGGGATGGGGCTGCTGTTCTGCTTGAATACTTAACACACATAAACACAAACAGGAATGTTAGCATAGTTTTCACAGATGCACACACACACATACCAATACACACACACACATAGAGACATCTGCCAGATGCATTAGCCAGATGCCCAGGTCAGACTATCATAGCAGAACACTGGGAGTGTGTGCATTCATGGGTTAATGGGGGAGCTCAGATAATCTTAAAAATTAAGCCGAAACCCTCCTTTCTCAGATGGGGTTCTTTCTCTCACACACATAGAGAGCTCTGGCAATTTTTTTGCAGTTAAACACTTGTCCGATGCCTTTATATGAGCTTTGCTATTGTGGTTACCGGAATTAATCACTTGTTAGAGTTTTGTGCACCTCACCTACGACTATACAGTACATGATAACTCCTGTTACTTCTTTTGTAATGAAGTAGCACTGATGATGTTGCACATCATTTGTTATGTCACACACAAATTTGATTGTGGAGGTTTCCTTATGGTGCATATAAACTTTTATATTCTGAATTCAGGATTCCTTATAAATGTTTACAATCTTTATGTAACCACAAACCACATATTTCATTCAGTTTATTTACCCGCTTTTGTTTCTAGTGACAGAGGGCGGGAGACTTTCCCAAAATGCATCAGCAGAAGACGAGGTTAAATCAAACAGTGGTGAAATGAGGCCAAAGACAACAAGAAAAATATTCTCTTTGAATAGAAATGCATCCATGTTGGAAAGTTTCTGCTGTGAAATCAATTCCATGAAGTCAAAAAACTATGGATAAATAAATGCACATCAAAATGCTCATTAAATGTAATAGCTTTGCAGCATTTTGTAAACTAATGTACAAATCAATAAACAACAACATACTGATACTTCCATTTGGTTTTGTTCTCTTAAATAATTAAATGGCAAAAACCTGCAAATATTTCACTTTTGTGCCAAA